GATTGTAGGGGCACCCGAATCCTTATACTTTGGAGGAGTGCTGTGCTGAATGATCGCACTAACATTTTCAGTTAACCTCACTTTCTTTGGTAAATGACTTCTGAAAGTGTGCTTTTGAGTGCACAAATCCTTAAGGAATTTTGCATAGGGAGGAATTTGCTTGATAGGATCCAAGAGAGGAAGATTGATCTTTACTTGCCTAAAGACCTCCCACATGTCTTGAATTTTGCAATTCTTATTCCCAAAATGTGTCAACTCTTGAAGACGTTGAGGGAACGGAGCTTTTAGCTCATAAGTAGTTTCCACATTTAGGGTGACATGCATGGGATTTCCGTAAATGGTATTTGGACAAGAAGAACTTGGATTTGGATTGGAAGAGCTTGAATTTAGATTTTTCAAAGGAGGATTTCGTTCACTTTTGTCTCCATCGACCTTGTTGTCAACCACTTTACCACTCCGAAGGGTGGTGTTAGCTTAAACATGCTCAAGACTCGGCCCACTCGGAAGAGGGGTTTCATCAATTGCATGTATCCCTCTAGGATTTTCAAATGGTTGAGCGGGAAGCTTACCCTTGTCTTTTTGAAGAAGTTGGTTCACTTGGTTAGCTATTTGTCCCATTTGATTTTTGACCCTAGCTATGGCTTGAGTATGGGAGTGAACCATTTGGAGAGTAGGTTGCAAGGATGTCAAGAGATGCTTGTTGGAATCTATGATTTGCTTGTTTAATGATTCCATCATTTGCACATTTAATGATTCCATCATTTGCTTGTTTGCAGCCACCATCTCATCAATTGGATTCACAGGAGGTTGAGTGGAGACATTTGGATTGTATGGAGGTTGGTAGCTTGAAGAGGCTTGGAAAGGCCTACCTTGATATTGAGAAGAGGGCTGATTTTGAGGCCCTTGATTTTGAAGTTGGGAATTTTGTGGGGCTTGTTGCCTCCACGAAAAATTCAGATGGTCCCTCCAACCTGGATTATATGTATTAGAATACGGGTTATGCCCGGGCCTTGAGAACATGGCATTAGCTTGCTCTTGGTTGGGATTGGGAAATTGCTCCAGTGTGGGGCAATCTTCCGAGAGATGGAATGGACTAGTACATAAAGCACAAACCGAACTTGCCAAATTTTGAGACAATGAAGGGGGAAGATGTGGTGCCATCAATTGGTAGAATTTATGAGCAATGGCATCCACTTGAGATGATTCCTCCCTTATTGATTTTTGTTGACAAGGATTGGTGTTCTTTGGAATGGTTGAGGTCGGAGCCCTACGAGAATTGTGTTGAAGTGAATTTTCACTAAAATTCTCAAGTAAGGTCCAAGCCTCATCTGCATTCTTGGACATGAACATCCCACCACAAGAAGAGTCAACCATGAATCTATGGGTGTCGGTCAAGCCGGCATAGAAAGCTTGCACTAATTGCCATTTTGGAATCAAATGATGAGGACACTTCCGAAGAAGATCTTGTAACCTTTCCCAAGTCTCGTGGAGTTGTTCTCCATCAACTTGAGAAAAGCTTAGAATGGAACGCCTCATTTGGTTGGTTTCACTCATCGGATAATACTTCTTAAGAAATTCTTGTTGCAATTGAGCCCAAGAAGTAATAGAGTTGGGAGTGAGGGAGTTCAACTAATATTTTGCCCTATCCTTTAGGGAGAATGGGAAAAATGTAAGTGGAGTGCATTTTCAGGAAATCCTCTCAACCGGATGGTCGAACAAATTTCAAGGAACTCATCGAGATGCTTATATGGATCTTCATTATCAAAACCATGAAAAGATGGAAGCATTTGGATGGTACTAGATTTGATCTCATATTGAGCTGCATCAATGTTTGGCATCACTATGCAAGATGGAGAAGCATAGGTGGTAGGGATGAAATGATCTCTAAGAGTCATTGGTTCAATATTAGGAATTTCAGCCCTTTCATTCCCCAGATTTCCTATATTATCCCCCATTGTATTAAATTCAGTTTCAAGATCCCGTGTAAGAGTAGGTTCCCTAGGGTTCCGTCTAAGAGTTCTTTCAAGAGAGTTAATATCAATGGGAGAGTCAATTGTGGGTAAGGAAAGTGACCTACGACCGAACATCAACAACAAAGCATATACTTAACAAAGCAATTCATCAACCACAACTCCACATACGATGTTCCCTTTCTCCTCAATTATCAAGACAGAAAATAAATGGCCACGACAAGGACCGATGCTTAAACACGAAATTAAAACAATAATATAGCCTCAACAAGGGCTTGCAAAAAAAATTAACTACTTCTAAGCTTAACACATGCACAAAATATAACAATGCAAAACTAAATGGTCAAGAAGCTTACCTAGGGTCCTTTGGACTTACACTTTGCTAGCGTTCCCACGGCGAGAGTCGAGTCCCTAGAATCTTACAACACGAAAAATGGTTAAACCACACGAGAAATATGCACAAAACACAATCACTAAGTTTAACCCTAAAACTTTGGTTGCTAAACCGTATGCAAGTCCCTGGCAACGGCGCCAAAAATTGATCGGTTGATCAACTATACATCAACCTTCACAATAGCACGAATCATTGTAAAATAGGGCTATTGGTCGGGCAAGTCAAACCACTAGGACTGCGCTAGTCTAATACAACCTAAATGTCTAGAATCATTCTTAGAATGATGAAGGGTATATAGAGGTTTTGTTGGATGTCACTTAAGCTAGGAAATTAAAAGTGCATAAAACAATAAATTGCAAGAATTCAAGGGAGTGAAGTACAAGTAAAGTAGGCTAGGGAAATGAATCCACCTCCATCCCTATCCACATGCTAGGTTAAGATTAATTTAAGAGAAAAACAACATATATGATAGTCATGATACATAACAATACTAGGTTGCTATAATATCCTCAAGAAGTTCATTTAAATAGGAAGGCAAGAATAAACCATCAAAGGTTCACATGATTAACTACCTAAACTAAAATGTAGCTTAGAACATGCTTAGTAAGTCAAGGATTATCAAGCCCTAATTTAAATGGTGAATGCACATAAAGCTAAGAATCAAGTATAGACCATCAAAGGGAAACCCTAAGCCATGAACTATCTAGGTTCTCCAACTCCATGCCATTAAAACCATTCCATGATCTAACTTCCATTGTCACCATGGAAGTGCAAGCAATATGATTAAGAAAAGTAACCATCCAAGACAAGATGAATAACTCACAATAATCATTTATAAACATTCAACATTCATTACAACAAAAATGAGGCTCTTGATCATGGAAAGACTATCAAAAATACATTGTAATCCCCAAAAATAAACTATACTAACACATGCTTACAAGGGAGGGGTTTCATCACCTCCCTAGATGAGGTTTAGTTGCCCATTGGTAAGCTAGAAGAAGGAAGAAGCATCATCCTCATCTCCATTTTCGTGCACCCTCTTTGGAGCTTGAAGAACACACCTTTCTTTTGCTCTCTTCTCTCTCCTCCCTCTTGTCAAAATGAAGGATAATCCTAAGTAATGTGTGGCTCCCCTCTTTTGTAGACATGTTACTCCACCCAAAAAGCCCTCTCTCTCCTCTAAGAAACCTCCCCAACCAACTCATAAAGAGAGCATACAAAGTTAGCAAATTTCTGAGCACAAGTGGCTAATCTCGTGAAGCAATCTGCCCTAATTTCGAGCACTTGAAATAAGGCCTCGAGCACTCGAAAATTGGCCAGAATGCCCTATGCTTGGTTTGCTCCGCCCGGACCTACTTTGGTAAAACAGCCATAACTTTGTTCTCTGAACTCCAAATGATGAACCGTTTGAAGATTTAGAAAGATAATTCAGAGCTCTAAAAACTTTATGTTTTGGTAGAGATCCAATTCTCAAGTCTGGTTGGTCAAAATTGAAGAACAAGGTGGACTTTCATTGCTGCCAGGTAGTTCTGAGCACCTCTAATAAGAAGATCATAACTCTCTGCTCCGAACTCCGAATGATGAACCGCTTGAAGATTTGGAAAACTGATTCAGAGCTCTAAATCTTTGATGTTATGATGGAAGTCCAGTTGTTGAGTTTGCTAGGTCGAAAATGGTGACAAAAGTCAGGTTCCACTGCTGCCAAGCTTCAGCATTGTGCCTTTCTTATCGAAAATTGGCCAGAATGCTCTATGCTTGGTTTGCTCCGCCCAGACCTACTTTGGTAAAACAGCCATAACTTTGCCCTCCGAACTCCAAATGATGAAATATTTGAAGATTTGGAAAGATAATTCAGAGATCTAAAAACTTTATGTTTTGGTGGAGATCCAATTCTCAAGTATGGTTGGTCGAAATTGAAGAATAAGACAGACTTTCATTGCTGCCAGGCAGTTCTGAGCACCTCTAATAAGAAGATCATAACTCTCTGCTCTGAACTCCGAATGATGAACCGCTTGAATATTTAGAAAACTGATTCAGAGCTCTAAATCTTTCATGTTATGATTGAAGTCCAGTTCTTAAGTTTGCTAGGTCAAAAATGGCGACAAAAGTCAGGTTCCACTGTGGCCAAGCTTCAGCATTGTGCCTTTCTTATCCAAAATTACAACAAAACTTCAACCTTGCTTCTTTTTGGCCAATGAACCTGAAAATGAATAAAAACATGGAAATGGAGATAATCTACATAAATACACAAATAAAGAACTTAACTAATGCAATTTAGGACGCTTGAATATACAATATTCGGCGCTTATCATTAGCCCATCCCCCTTTCGTGACGCCTTGGAGGTGCCTTGGGTCGGATTACACTAACGGTTTGAAAGTTGAAATGGTATTGTTTCGGAAATGGGGATTAACATTGCATGGCATGGCACATCATTGGCACGCTTGGTGTATTTGGTAGTTGGTTAACATATGTATGTTTGTTGATGACATAATGGTTTTACTTGACTCCTGAGATATGATCCCATTCTCTTGCCTTCTATTCTCTATGTGGATTCATGGGGTTATAAGAAGTATGTCTTAGACACTTCCTACTGAGTGTTTAGATCACCCCATCATTTTAACATTTTTTTCAGGATACGGAAAGGAAGTGGCGGACGACGCTCCTCTATAGGTTTTAACGGGTTAGTGGACTGTTTGACATATTTTGTAGCTATGATCTCATTTTATTATTATTATTATTATTATTTTTATAAACCCTGGGATGACATGTATATTATATATTAACGTAGGAAAGGACGATAGTATCCTTAGTTGACCTCGGGTTCGGATAAGGACCCGGTTAGCAATTCAGACCCTCGGGTTCGGGTCATTACAGTTATTATATTTTACTTTTCTTTTCTTTTATGTTTGGCCGACTTAGTATCAGGTTGGGATTAGGGTTTGTATAAACCTATATATATTTAAGGGTGTTGTCTACCTTAGGGTTCATAAGACCCTACTCACGCCACCTTATAGAAGAAAGTGGTAGTAGAGAATTGAGAGAGAGAACAGAGAGGAGAGAAGACAAACTGAGAGACAAAAGAGAGGGTTTAGACCAAAGAATTAGGCTGGACCAAGGAGGAAGGTTGAGGGCTATTCGAGGGTTAGAACCAGAGCAGAGGAGTCCTTAACGGCAGTCACGTTCGCCGAAAAAACTAGGAAGAATAAATTAATGGTTTCAAATCGAAACCTAGAGGCAAGTTTTATTTCTTGCTCTTTCCCGTAGACCTGTGTTCTGTGCATGCCTAGATAATCTCCAAGATGTAATCAGACTTTAAAACTAAACTTGTACGCATAGGGTTTTTAGAGTTTTATCTGTATATTCTGATTTTGATTTAAATTGAAGTCTTTGATACGTTGTTTCATTCTATGTACTCTGAATTATTGTTTTTGATTTAAAAAGTTACAGAGGTGTTTAAACTTGTCAGAGATGGGGACGAAGGGGTAGAACGAGAGGGAATTGGGTTAGGGCTCTCAGAGAGGAAAAGAGCCGGCTCCATCGAAGTAGGAGCTAGCTCCCTCAAGCAAAGAGCCGGCTCCAGGGGTTAGGGAGCCAGCTCCCTCCTAAGTAGAGCCGGATCAATGGTGTGGGGAGCCGGCTCCCTTTGTGGTTGAGCCTACTCTACATTTTTTCGAGTAGGCTCTCTTGATTTAGTGCGTACAAATGATGTTTTGGGGCACTGTTTGGGTGTTTTGGAGTTCTAGAATGGATTTAGGTTGATTTTAGGAATTCTAAACAATTTTTCAAGACACCTTAAATTCCCATAATGCATAATTTATACCTGTATGCTAATAGTTAGAATAATATGAAATTTTAAACAAATTTACATATTGTTCTCGGATGAGGGGAATTAATATTATTTTAGCAATTTAATGACTATGATTATGATCTGATTTTAATTTTGTATTGGATGCATAATATGCTAATGGTTAGAATAATATTGAATTTTAAACAAATTAGCATGTTGTTAATGGATATTGAGGATTTAATTGCTTAATCTTAGTTTAGCAATTTAAAGGACTGTGACATGATTTTTAAATCTTGTAATGGATGCATAATATGATCATATACATATCAGATTTTTATTATGCTTGCTCTAGACTATGATTGATGAATTGTTTAATTCTATTTCTATCAATTATATGGATTTTGTGGATTATATGCACCGGTATGGGACGTTGGCATATTAGATACGGATTATATCAAAATGCTAACTCCTACCTATTCTGGATTTTAATTATTGAACTGCTTTATTTGTTTTATCAATTATTGGTTTGTTTTGTGGATTATATGCACCGGTATAGGATGGTGGCATATTAGGTATGGATTAGATCAAAACGCTAACTCTTACCTATTCTGGAATAAAGGAATGGATTAATTATAACATTTAAATCCTACTTATATTTCGTGTCATGGCAACGAACAGTTGAGCGGCACTACTTTGGTGGTGGATGGATTTTAAATATATAATTATGGTACCGCGATATGAGCTTGAGTCTTAGAGTTGATGGTTAGGGAGTGTATATGCAGTGGGATACATAACTAGCTATGATAGGCTGAGGTATACCTTGTTAGGCTTAGGTACTCATACCCACTTCAGGTGCATTTTTGCATGTTGCCTTCTATTCAGGTTGAGACCCCTTTTGTAATCCAATGAGAGTCCTTTAGTGTGGATATATATATATATATATATATATATATATATATATATATATATATATATATATATATATATAGTTATGTGATGAGTGCTCAAATGTGACGCATTTTAGCCCATAAGCTAAGGTATTTTAGTCTATTCATCTATCTTACTTTCATGTCTTAGATACTTATTTGTGCTTTTGTTTATTTCAGGTTAATAAAGTTCAAACAGGCTAACAAGAGCCATTTAGCTCAATTTGGAGCTAAAGAGCAAAGTTGGAAAGAAGTCAAGAAAAATGCACCAGGGGAACTTTGATCGATCAAAGAGGAATCCCGATCGATCGAAAAAGTCTTCAATCGATCGAAATGAGGCAGTGCCAACTCAGCCAATCGGATAAAGCCAAAAAAGATATTTTTGAGCCACGTCAGCTTTGATCAATCGAAGTTAAGTGTTTAATCGATCGAATATATTCGATCGATCGAAAATGCTGCTAGCAGTGAGCTATCCAATTTTTGAGCGCACCGATTTATACATAACTTGTGTAGTGGCGAATTTCCTCTAATCAAAGGCTGTAATTCTAACTTGGTCTTTACTCAAAGGAGTATGTAATTGATTTATTGAACATTGATTATATCATAGAAGAAAGATAGAGAAATTACCAATCACAGAAATTTTCCTTTCTCTAGAACTGTAATGACCCAGTCATTTTCCTCCTTTTTCCTTTTTCGGTGATTTTCTTTTTTCGTCTTTTTCCTATTTTGTCTTTTCCCTATTTCGCCTTTTTCCCGTTTATCTTTTTTCCTTGCATAATATCACTTTTTGTGTATGGATTTGATTCCGGTTTTGCATGCATTCATGATATTTGATTTCCATGATTATTGTATTTTTACTTTCGTAGAAAATACATTCTAGTTGCTTACTTTTTCGTAAAGGGCATAGATGCATACTTTATTGTAAATATTATTAATTTTTGGGGTTTTAGTGTAATTATATAGAATAATTATTTTTCATTTAGGGACCTTTTGGTAATTTAATTTGGAAGATATTTTGAAAAAGGTCTTTTTTACAATTTTTGGAAAATATGATAAGTGTCAAATTCTCATGGTGCCACTTGTTGGCATTGGGGTGGAGTGACTTGGAAACATAATCTATTGACATTTGGAGGGTGGAGATTCACCCACTTGTTGGCCTAGGATTGGTGTACTTGTTGGGTTAGATGGTTAACAAGTGTAGGCTTAGGATTAAGCCTATGAAGAAGCCATTAATTTATGACAAGTGTAGGCACCAAAATAAGTCTTGCATTAGTATGTATATGAGAGGTAGTGTAAGAACACATAGTGAGTGGAGGATTTCTAGACCTTCCACTCACCATTTTCATTTCATCTTTATCATTTACACTTGTTCTTCAAAACCTAAACCTAGCCACCATTGGAGAAAAGCTTGGTTAATAGCTTTCTTCTTCATTTTGGCCTCCTTCCACTCACCTTAGACTTAAAATTTTGGGAGACAAAAGTTTCCTCTTGCTCTCCTTTTCAAAACCCTATTATTGTTTTCTATTTTTAAGCTTGGTTGCTTGGATTATAGAGATTCAATTCTCTATTGAGGTAGGGGTGGTAGTATGTTTATATTCTAAGTGTTTTATAAACTTTTGGGGTTTAATATATATTGTGTACATGCTTTTAGAATTGTAGTATTGCATACTATAGGAAATTATTATAATTAACTTAGGGTTTATTAATTTAAGCATATATGTTGTGTATGTATCATGGGTATGATTATTAATGTTGTATAAAACTCTTATTGATTTGAATTACTATACTATTGTGATGTTAATCCTACATTCTAGTTGATTACTATTGGTAATTGTAATTATTTTAGAAGCTTGTTACTATAATATTGTAATCTAGTATATAAAGCATATTGTTGAGGCATGATTTAAAATGATAAGTTAGTGGCATAGTATTGTGCATAATATCATGATGAGGACTTGTCATTTGGTATGCCATCTTAGACTTGGAACCCTAAGACATGGTTTGTGTGGTTTCAAAATACTTGTGCATGGAAAGTGGTGTATATGCCTTGCCTTAATTATAGTGTATGAGTCTTGAACTTGGTTATGATTTTGGATTCTTTTGGGACATTGTTACAAGTGATATGGCTAGAGTTTGGCTCTAGTGCGGGAGGTTTGAGTTCTGTCCAATTCAGATAATGCGTACTAGGGTGGTCTTCCCAGCGGGTTAATGCCCAGAATAACCATTTTGATCTTGGTTTAGTCCGAGACATGATGTCCAAGTCTTCCACTAATTGATTTCACATTCAATTCTAAGTTGACAACCAATACTCAATTGTAACTTGTAATTTTTGTTATTGGCGAATTGATGTTGTTAAGTACATTGATGCTGATATGTGTTGTTAAAGAATCATTTAAGTTAGCTTAAGATGATTCCTTAGAACACCTTGAATATAGACGTTAAGTGGAATGCTCCTTTGTATTCGTCTATATTGATCTTACAATGATATTGAAACTTTAGGGTATACACATATGCTTCTTCTTACGAGCAACTTGATTACTCACCCTAGTGGTTTGGGTTGTTTTATAGCTAACGAGACTATGTTCTTGGATGTTCATCGTCCTTAGAAGCTTATGAGCAATTTGAAGCATTTTTGTATATTAACATGCAAATGTTTAGCATGCTTTACTTTTGAAGTTATATTTTTGCATACCATGGGTGTATGGTATTTTGGAAGTGAATGTAACTTTCTTGATGTGTAATGATACTCAAGTATTTACTTTTGACATTTTAAGCATGTTTACTTGTGTACTTGTATTCACTTGGTATCAAACTTTGCTTTAAATTGCATTTTAACCAACTTTGGAGGTTTGGCATATGAAATTCTTGTAATGGACATGTATAAGACCACAATTTGTTGTAATACATTCATTTATTCATTTAAAGGTTGTTGACATGCTCACATACTCAAATCTCATTAAAAATCAGTTTTAAACTTTCATTTTTGAACCAATTCATGAGGGGATTTGAAGCATAGGTTAAACCTTAACACATTTGGCAT